TTTCAAGGATGGCAGTGGATGAATCGATCTCGACGAGGGCGCCCCGCAAGGTTGATCCAGGGAAGCAAATTTCAGATGGGGCTGGAACCTCTGCGGTGGATGGTATTAACAACAAGCACACATCTGCTGTTGGGAGTGTTTCGTTGGCTGCAATTCTGCTTGTATTCAATGGAGACACGGGCGAAGGCATGCTTGCGCTTCCATCACCACCTGATGTACCACACCCCAAGAGATCAAGGACCAGTTCAGTTGGAAAGGAAGGCAATGTTATAGTGAAACACATCCGGCGGGCTCCCTAGAGGGGCGCCGCCAAGCCCAATGAGTGCACTCTATTGGAACTGCCGCGGCGGGGGTAAAGCCGCGACAGTTCGAGAAATTCACGACTTCGCGAATAAATTTGCCCCTACCCTTTTTGTGTATCGTTGAAACTCAGATAGAAGGCTCGAGGGTAGAAGCATTAGCAAGTACTTTTGGATCTGATAATGGTTTTGCAATTGATAGTAGAGGTAGAAGTGGTGGCATTGGTCTATTTTGGAATAATAAAACAAAAGTTGATTTTCTTGGTAACTCGGAGTATCATATCACTCAGTATTGGAAGCGGGCCACGACCCGTGGAGGTGCACTGTTGTATGTAGAGAGGCCCAGACCGATCTCAGACATCGAACTTGGGACACCCTGAAGAACATCAGTATCACTAGCAACCTTCCGTGGGTGTGTTTAGGGGATTTCAATGAGGTTTTGCACCCCGAAGAGCACGAGGGCGTAGGAGAGAGGACAGTAATGCCGTCATGTTTGTATGTTACTTGACGTCGGATATACTGGCAAGTTTTGGACCTTGGAGAAGAAAGTAACGGGGGGAACATATACTAGGGTGCGTCTTGATTGAGCCCTCGCAAATGTAGATTGGCGAGCAAGATTTCCCCTAGCAGACCTAATCCATTTGACAGTGGCCACATCAGATCATTGTCCAATATTGTCGAGTCGGAACACAGAACACCTGAGACGCCAGAACCCTGGAACTTTTTTGTTACGAAGTGATGTGGGTTTTCGTTGGTTTTCGTTGGTTTTCCCTTGAAGAGGAAAGGGTGATGCAGCAAAGCAGCGTAAGTATTTCCCTCAGTTTTGAGAACCAAGATATCAACCCAGTAGGAAACAACGCACAAGTCACCGAATACCTGCACAAACAATCAACAACTTGCACCCAACATGATAAAGGGGTTGTCAATTCCTTCACTGTCACTTGCAAAAGTGAGATCTGATAGAGATAGATAAACGATAAAATAAATATTTTTGGTATGTTTGGTTTATAGATTAGAAAGTAAAGATTGCAAAATAGTAGACCGAAAACTAGGAAGATGTAAACGAGATTCAATATAATGAAAAAGAGACTCGGGGGGCATAGGTTTCACTAGTGGCTTCTCTAAAGATAACAAATATTATAGTGAGTGATCACATTACTGCCGAGCAATTGATAGAAAAGCGCATAGTTATGATGATATCTAAGGCAATGATCATGAACATAGGCACCACGTCCGTGTCAAGTAGACCGACTCCTGCCTGCATCTACTACTATTACTCCACACATCGACCGCTATCCAGCATGCATCTAGAGTATTAAGTTCATAAAAAACAGAGTAACGCATTAAGTAAGATGACATGATGTAGAGGAATTAACTCAAGCAATATGATGAAAACCCATCTTTTTATCCTCGATGGCAACAATACAATATGTGCCTTGCTGCCCTACTGTCACTGGGAAAGGACACCGCAAGATTGAACCCAAAGCTAAGCACTTCTTCCATTGCAAGAAAGATCAATCTAGTAGGCCAAACTAAACCGATAATTTTAAGAGACTTGCAAAGATATCATCATGCATATAAGAATTCAGAGAAGAACCAAATAATATTCATAGATAATCTTGATCATGAATCCACAATTCATCGGATCTCGGCAAACACACCGCAAAAGAATATTACATCGAATAGATTTTCAAGAACATCGAGGAGAACTTGGTATTGAGAATCAAAGAGAGAGCAGAAGCCATCTAGCTAATAACTATGGACCCGAAGGTCTATGGTAAACTACCCACGCTTCATCGAAGAGGTAATGGTGTTGATGTAGAAGCCCTCTGTGATCGAATCCCCCTCCGGCAGGAAGCCGAAAAAAGTCCTAGATGGGATCTCACGGGTACAGAAGGTTGCGGCGGTGAAAAAGTGGTTTCGTGGCTCTCCTGGATGTTTTCAGGGTATAAGAGTATATATAGGCGAAGGAACTAGGTCAGGGGAGCCATGAGGGGCCCACGAGGGTGGGGGGCAACCGTAGGGAGAGGAGGAAGATATGGTGCAGTGGGGGCGATAGCTAGAGATGCCGAGGGCGTGTTCCTGGGGGCTTCAGCAATTGTCTTTCCCAACAATGGAAACCCAGCTGTCCTCGAGTGTTTGGCAATAAGAGAAGGCCTGGCCCTACCAGATGATCGATATGAGCGGAGGATCAAGGTGGCGTCGGATTGCAAAGTGGTGGTCGAGGATATATGTAGCAAGAATCCGACTTCTTATGGCGCAATCATTCATGAAGTAGTAGATCATAAGAGTACTTTTATTTCATGTATTCTTAGTCATGAATCTAGGAGCTCGAATGTCGAGGCTCACAAACTCGTGAAGCATGCTTTATCCCCACCGGCTGTCCGACATGTGTGGCTTGGGCAGCCGGATGGTCTTACTTTCGTCCATGTAAACATTGTGACGGTTTGATTAAAGCTTCGGAGTTTGTCTAAAAAAGTTGTCTAAAAAATGAATAAGTTTAGTTTCTCTCTGTGAAAAAAAGAGTGAATAAGTTGTTATAAAAAAAGCTATTCTAAAAAAGTGAATAAGTAGGTGTATTATATCACTTCACTGATCATCTAACCAATGTGGATACATAAAAAAACTGCACTTCCCTAAAAAAAGCACAGTACCATATCATCCATTAAGACTTAGTTTTCGGTTGCTTAACTATGATGTGATGTCCTTCTTTTTATGATATGATGTAATAAAAATAGGTGTAAAAATACGCAAAGCAGATCAACAGAGCACTAAAATATATAAAAAGGGAAAAAAAGACTGGAACAACGAGATAACGAGAATCCATCGAACACCAAGCACAATCTATGTCTACACAGTGGTAGCAAAGATGCGGGTGAAAAACTTCACATCCCGACAATCTTGCTCATATAGCTCACTAATTGCAAGTGGCAATGCAAACAATCAACACATCACATGCACGAACTGAATGAAAAATCAACCGAATATAATCAACTTTACAAAAGGATCAGGAAAGATGGAGAAAAAGAGAGGAGGCACCCTACTTAGCGGTCTCAGCCCCAAAAATGTCACTCCCTTAGCTAGCTATTACTCTCTCCGTCCCAAAATTCTTGTTTTAGATTTGTCTAGATATGGATGTATCATTTGAAGATCACATTGTACGTGGTAGCACATCCTAGGGAAGATCACATTGTCCAAGGACTTGTTGCCCTTGGTTGCAGTGGTTTGGACACCTCTGGTACTCTAGCCCCTCATCTCCTTGCACATCCTCTTTAGCTCTGTCATCTAACCACACATTCTTCGTAGGTCTAGACTCAATTGATTCCTCCTTCTCTTGTTATCGGTCATGACTCGCCTCGGCATCCATGCCAATGGTGGTCTTCGGCACAGAAGGTCGTCAGCTGAGTGATTTTTGATACAAATGTGCAGAGAATGAAGCACTTAATTGACTTGACGAAAATGCTGGCGGCGTCTTTTTTAATGCCGGGAAAATGCAAGAAACCATCTATCTATTCAGTAAAGGTAGCAGTACAGTATAGCACGTACAGTAATAAATTTGTAGCTTCAGTTAAATCAGTTAAAACCTGATAGATGAACACGTGTCAGATAGATCATTGCCTCTCAATCAAAAAAGAAAAAGAGATGAATGAATATCATTTGCATCCTTCTCGGGCGAACAGTGCTGCTAATGATGCTGCTTGCTTGCAGCCAGTGCACACCAGAGTAGAATAAATGTCCTTTTAAGGTAACAGACGTTATAATCAAATGCTCCCTCCGTCCCAGAATAAATGTCTCAACTTTGTACAGTAAAAGTTGTAGTACAAAGTTGTGATGTTTATTTTGGGACGAAGGGAGTACTATGCTGCTAGTTGTATAAGTCAAACTAGAAAAGGCAGGCTAGAAAGAGTCATAAAAATTCGTCGTCGTCCCGCACTTCTCAGTTTTTTTACACATTTTGTTTGGTCTCACCTGTCTTTTCCACATGCTGACACAAAACCATATTTGCCCCTAAAAAAATCTACAGCTGTGCTGATAACAACTTGATATAAGTTGTTCAAAAGTATAGCTTGCAGAAGTCTTATATTGTGACACGGAGGGAGTAACGGGCAGTAACATCAACTTCAGTCGCATGACATGAATACCCACAAAAAACTTCTGTGAGCTCCAAATCACAACAAAATACTCCCTCCGTTCCTAAATACTTGTCTTTCTAGACATTTCAAATGACTAGTACATACGGATGTATGTAGACATATTTTAGAGTGTAGATTCACTCATTTTGCTCCGTATGTAGTCACTTGTTGAAATGCCTAGAAAGACAAGTATTTAGGAACGGAGGGAGTAATACAGTACGTACTTACCAAGTAGTACTGCATAACAATTCCAAAGCTGGACTTGTTTTCCACTGGGAGTTTCTACTCAACTCATTCCAAAGTCCACTACAACTACTCAACTAATTCCAGAGTCCACTAAAACTGATGCCACAGGCAAATGACCTTGATTTTACTATCAGACAAAAACTTGATGCTAACTCAGATGAATGTCTACTCACAACAGTGGGGGCTGAATACCAATCTTATACACCATGGATGAGCGTTGCCTCACAACAGGGAAGCTAACGGTGAAAGCTTTGCAATCCAACCTTGCTCATCAACCTCATAACCAGCGACCAACACACAACAAACTTACAAAAAGGACGAGTCACTCATCCAACCCTCTGACGCCCTTGGTCGTCGTGGACGCATTGGTACTGCTACTCTGGCTCCTTGTCTCCTCGCGCGCCCTCTCTAGCTCGGCTCCCTGGACATCAGCGCTCCCCGCTCCCTGGACATCAGCAGCATGGTGTGTGCCTGCATATGCACAAGGATACACCATTACATGGACACAAGCTCAGTTGTTGTCTGACATTTTCACTTGATGTTGCACACTACTACTGAGGCTGAACTTGCTCTCTTTTATGGTACGCAACTATTAGTCTCTCGCTGGGTTATATATGAAAACCTTCATATGAGAATGGTTGGAAGGCTTAGTAATGTGATTGACATTTAAGAAAACTGAAGGCAACTTATGAAGTGAGACCTGTCCTCCTTTCCCTCGCCACAGCACGACGCGCCTCGGCATCGTTGACGACGACGAACAAGTGGTTTGAAACTTGAACGACCACTGGGAGGACAGTGCCTTGCGCACCCCCAGGGCCAGCTTCCTGTACTTCAGGCGCTGGCACAGATTCCCCAGCTCCCTGGACGTCAGCATGGCGTGCGCCTGCATGCACAAGGGGCTCAATCTATTGCTAATTTTCTGTTGTCTGAGAATTTTCACACAAAGCTGCACACTAGCAAGGCTCAACATACCCTCTTTTATGGTGTGCAACTGCTAGTTAGGCTATATATGAAGTGACCTTTGAGATGAGAATGGTTGGATGTTGATTGAAAATCTTAGCTATGGGATTAAATATTTAAGAAATCGCAGGTAACTTTGAATAGAGAACCCTATCTAGAATGCAGCGAAGTTCTGTAAACAACTTTTTTGTTAAGGATACTAGTACAGTTAAGCTCAATCATGCAGCAACCCGGGCAATTGTGTGGAGATAACTATGAAGGGAAGGAGGTATCTGTCACTCAACAGAAAGCTTACCACTTGACACTGTCGGTGACGATAATAACGATGGTGGGAAGTTGCAATATACGTGTGACGGTGCGGGAAATGATGCACACACCCTCTCAACCTGGGATGTGTCGACGTCGAGCGTGAAACCACCTGTCTGGACCGACGAGCTTCCACACTGATATAGGAGCAAGTGCCTCCCCACCGCACCCGTGAGCAAGGACCCAGAATCCAGCGAGAACGTCTTCTCCTCCATCTGCCACTGGGTAGAAATCCCAGCATTGTTTCGCCAAACGTTATATTTAAGGCGAGATGTGTCGTGTTTAGGCCCAAACATCCGAATCATGCCTTGGCCTGCCTCCACGATGGCCACATCATCGCTCGAAGCTCTGGCACAGGGTGGGTGGTCAGCCATGGAGAACTCCATCCTCTGAATGTCAAGCACTAGCAATTTTACAATTGAACCTGAAACCCAGTAGAAGCAACCATGTGCATAATGGCGCGACATGAAGAGATCCATCCACGACCATAACAGGAAGCCCAGCAACAACTCGCTTGAAAAGGCTCGCCATTTCCCTGTGCCGGAAGAGAAGACAGCGGCCACTAGCTTAGCTTCAAACAGCCCCATCCAGATCACCCGGAATGATGTCCCCTCCTCCTCCTCCTCCTCGTCGCCGTTGCCGGGAGGGACGAGGAAGGTCTCGGCGAGGCAATGCCCTTGTATCAGGAGTTGGTCCACGACCGAAGCGGCTAGGTCATCGGGGATTGGGGGGAGCAGGAGATACTGCCGGTGCAAGGGGTCGCACACCACCATCTCCTTGAAGAGGGCTCCGAACCCATCGACGGAGTCGTGGCGGCGGGGTCTGTCGAGGAGGACGCGGCCGTCGCGGACTTCCCGCACGGACCAGTCCCGGGCGGGGGCGGGGAGGAAGGCGAAGGAGAAGTCGGCGGCGAGGGCGACGGCGCTGGCCGCCGGCGCGGAGGGGTGAGGCGGCACGGCGGGGTGGAAGAGGTGCCGACCTGAGTCGAGGAAGCCGAGGAGGGGCGGGGGGTGGATCTTGCGGAAGCGCCGGAGGAAGGAGCGGTCGGCGACGAGGCGGCGGAAGGAGACGCAGGCGGCGGAGGCGCGGATGAGGTCCTCTGGGGTGGGGAGGCGGAGGAAAATGTCCACTAGTAGCTCGTCGGGGATCGCCAGCGAGGCCATCTTCCGGCCGTCGTCCGGCAGCGGCGGCGGCGGCGGCGGCGGTGTGTGTGCTGCTCTGTGGGAGTGAGTTCGCAGGAGGGTGTGTGTGTGCTGCTGGGGAAGTAAGCCCACACACGGTACGAATGGGCTGCAGAACACTCCCAGTTTGTCACGGGCCGAAACTTAAGTGAATAAGTTTATTTTCTAAAGTTTCTCATAAAAAAGTTTATTTTCTAAAAAAAAAGAATATCCATATAGAGGACGCCGTTTCGACGCACAAGATAAATTTCGGAAAATAGCAAACAAATCGAAAGAAATTGTTTCTTTTTTCGCACCAAAGATGCACAAGTTTTCTAGGTGTATGCATGCAATTTTGCGTGGTGATTTGACAGAAGATGAGCTCTTGACAAAAGAAAAATCAAACGAGTGCGGCTAATCTGCACCCGGGCTCATCAGCACCCCCGCTTAGAAAAAAATTCAAAATAAATACTAGAAAAATTCAAAAAATTCCATTTTTTTTTGTGGTGGTAGATAATTTGACGCGTGAGGTGCGCACCAAAATTCAACTCATTTGAGCATCTGAGCAGCTCTCGGCAAAAAAGACAAAATCAGGGTCTGTAAAAATGCTTACTGTTCATGCACTGTTTTGATCCGATTTGTCTTTTTTGCCGAGAGCTGCTCAGATGTCCAAATAAGTTGAATTTTGGTGCGCACCTCACGCGTCAAATTATCTACCACCACAAAAAAAATTGGGATTTTTTGAATTTTTCTAGTTTTTTTTTTTGAATTTTTTGCTGAGAGGGAGCAGATGAGCCCGGGCACCGTTTTGAGTTTTCCAAATCGAACCCTCATCTTACAACCTGGAATTCCTCTCACCGTGGTGGGGTTTTGCGAACAATGAAATGAAAATGGAGTGAACGAGAAGGAATGGATCTCCGGATCGCTGCTCCCTCTATTCTGAATGTTGTGGAGGAGGCTCTCTCTGTCTTCCTCTCCTGTGGCCTTCACAAAGCCTGCTTGTGTAAACGATGTGGTGCTGTCGCTCCATGGTACAACTGCTGGTACATGCAGGCGGGCTCGTATCATGCACCGTCTTGCATTTTGGATGCTTTAGTGAACTTTCTCCTAAGATGAAAGTTGCTCCAAGTGGCTTTATTTGCTGGGATATTGATTGGTTTCTTCCGAATATATTTGTTCCTGAGCATCATTAGTAAAAAAAAACAAGTTTTCTTCTTTCTCGAAAGATTAGTGTTAGAAAGACGTGAGAAATATCAAAAACCCAATGAAAACTACATCAAAACACTCTTATAAAAAGTGGCAAAATATCGAGCCATCATATGTATTGAGTGAGATCTCGAGGAGCTTTTAATATTGGAATCGGAACTGAAACGACATTCTTAATGGCTTCTGGCATATTACCCGTCCTCAAAGAAGAACCGGATCACCGCACACTCTGAATCCTTCAAAATAGCTCAATGCCCAATATAGAAGCTTGCCATGAAACTTTCAATTCATGGGGACTTGCTTGGGTGCATTGTAAACAGTGCATTCTCAATATCCATCTCTTTGAAAATCTGCCAAAATACCTCCATCCTCCTGAGCCAGCCAGAGGTTTTATTTTGTTAATCCTTTGATTCTTATAGCCTTCGTGTCAAGGAGCGATGCGAGCGGTCCAATTGCACATCAATAGCAGCTGCTTTTATCTCTGCTATGGATGTGGGCTTGGACCAAGCCATCCCCAAACATTGAACCGGATCTTGAAAACGGGACTGAACTGAATCCGACTTCTTGGTAGCCCAATGGCTTTTGGTCGAAATGAGACCAGAGAGAGAAGAGTTTTCCCGCAAACCATAGCGACTATCTAGTCTCAAAACAAAAGAGTTCTTTTTATAGTAGCGGGGTTGGGAAAGTGAAAAACAAGAGTTATACAAACGAGTGAAGTGAACCCATCTCCAATAGTCCAATAATTCTTATCTTTAGACCATTCTGAGCCATTTACGAACATTACAGCGAATATGATCAAGACATTTTATGGCTCCCACATAAATAAGGCGGTCCAATGATCCACCTATGTTTGTGTCGGATCTTATCCATGCTGCAACCAGGCCGTGGAATATGGAGGTGGTCAGAGAACATATGTATGAGATGGACGCCGAAGCAGTAGCGAACATTCCCATCAGTCATGTTGCCCAGCCGGAAAGAATGGAAGAGGATTTTTCATATCACATTCGTACTGACTTAACAGGATCCGTCTCCCATAGTAATATTATGACAGTGTCCTTGAATTGTTTGAACCTGACTCTCATTATCTGTCTTCATGGTCTTGTGGGTATTTTGGACGATCGTACGAGGTCACAGTTTACCCAACACGATCATCCGGGGTGAACAAGAATTGGGGATCGGATGCGGGCGAAATTCCCGCCAATGGCTGAGATGCCACAGCTACCTATGAGTTCAGAGTGGCCAAGAGGATGAATAGGTTATTCTAATGACCATAGGAATAAGGAAGACTCGTTCGCTTTAAAGCAGCAAGACCGGCAAAAGTTCCTTCGCTAACCTGTTGGCTTAGTGAATAGTTCTGTCTTCGGGAGAATAAATAAGGTCATTTAGTAAGTTCATAACAATCAATTTATGTAAAGCAAGGGGCAAAGCTTCTATGACAGCTTCCCCCTCATTGCCATCGTCGGCCTTCCCCAGCTCCCCTCCTTCGTCGCTTCTGGCTAAGCATCTTTCTGCGGAGGAAAGGAGGCGACTAGTCGCTTCTGGCGAAGCAGCAAGTTCATGAGCAAGTGAATGAACGAGCAGCGAGAAAAGTGCAACAGTCGTAAGTAAGGCTCGCCATGTTCCTAAAAGGAGTGACCATCTTTTCTTCCCTTCTACTGACACTGAGCAAGCAGCAAGCATAGGCAATAGTTTCCGTAGGGTTGGGGCGCAAGCAAGCGTTTTCAGGCTCCGCTAGCTAGCGTACTCTTCTGCTATCAATGAAACTTAAAGAAAAAACCAGTGCCCTTTCGTATAGATCGAGACGCGGTACTTTTTCTTTACTTCTTCCATACTAGGAAGAATGGAAGGAAATCCTTCGATAACACTTCTTCCTTATTTGAAGAAATGATATCCGATGCCCGTGGAAACTCTTTCATTTCAAAAAAGTTCTTCTTCTTAAGAAGCAAATAGCATTTCCTATTGATTTGTCCCCTGGACTAGACCTATGTAGATTCGGAATTATCCGTCGCTACGCTGTTCCCAAGGACCCTTGGGACAATCTATTTGATTGCAAGGTTTTGTTCCAAAGCAAAGATATCCGCGGAGGCCGGTTCGTTCGCCCTATTCTGATATTCAGGACCAAGAGGTACTGGATTCTCTTTCGGATAGGCCCGGCTGTTAACTGACTGGTCGTAGGTTCGAATCCTACTTGGGGAGATTTTATTCATTCTTTAATGTAAGAATTTTAATGTAAGAATAAATAATTGAATTGAAGGGCTTGCTTTGACCCTTAGGAGTTGGTAACCCGTTCGCTGAATCAAGAAATGACATTGCGTAGAAGTGAAGTGAACTAGAGAATTCCAGTCAGAAAAGCAATCGGATACTGAAATCTCTTCTCTGAAAGCTAAAGCTTTTCGATCCCCAGTTGCTATGGGGAACAAAGGCAGAAATACAATAGAATCCTCCATTTAAGTGGTTCTCGCTTCTCCTTGTTCCTGCTCCTAACTCCTCCCCAGGTAGTTCCCAATGTTTGGCACTTTCCATACTTCGTGGGTGCAACATCAACAAATTCGCTCATGATCAAGTTACAACCTAAGATCTATGACTATATTATGTTAACTGTTCGTATTTTGTTCATTCCATCGGTATGCTCCCAGGTACCTGTAATTGTGATATGTTTGCCAGAACCAAGGGGTCTTTCTGTGGAAACCTTCACGAGCAATTTGGTCACGTAGATCTTCTATTTCGCCGGAATTCATTGATTGATCTGTACTCATTTACGATGGAAAAACTCCTGCGCTTATGCCCCGACGGTGGGGCCTTATGGGGAAGGGCCCAGCCCAATAGGGACAACACCCCCCCCCCCCACACACACACTTTAAGCGCATCTCTGTATCGACTGAATAACTCTATCTAAGGGCGACGTCGGTGTAACCGGTGAACCACGCGAGCAGTGCTGATCGAATTCGATAAATTTTTACTTCGCATAAGTTCGGGCAAGAGAGTAACTGGGCCTGCCGATACTGGGTTTAGAGAAACCATACCAGATAGACGTCCGTTCATGCTCAGCTTTAAGCATAGGACGCTACGAGATCACTGCCTTCTTGTCTTTCGATGCTAGTATGAAGTGAGTTTGTTGCTTCTTCCTCTCCGGACAGTCCTCCAGAAGTGGGTTCTGGTCGGTTTGTTCTTCGTCCGCCGGCTGGGGCAAGCTTGTTCATCTTCCTCACAACTAAGTTCGCATGGGTCCCCGTTCGTCGTAAAAGCTATGATACCAGTCTTCCGGGCCACAGGCGCCTGTTCCATTTCATGTTCCATTTTAGGTCCATGAATATTGGAAGAGGTCCTTTCCTGTGACACACTTAGTCGGAAGTGAATTCTCACGTTTTTCAACTACCAGTAGGCCTGTCCACGGCGCCCTAGTCTGATTCCATTGCTCTTTCATACAGGTGCTGCATGGCTGTCGTCAGCTCGTGTCATGAGATGTTTGGTCAAGTCCTATAACGAGCGAAACCCACGTTTTGTGTTGCTGAGACATGCGCCTAAGGAGAAATTGCCACCGAGGGAATCAACTCTTATTGCCGTAAAGGAAAAATAACCCCTTTCCTTTATATATATATACAAGGAACAAGTAGCCTTCGCCACCTATTCCTGAATTAAGGGAACGCGAGAAATCTTTCTCTATGTCAATTCAAAACAAAACAAACGGACAATTGAATCTTATAAACAAAATTCTTTTGAGAAGAGCTTGCGCCTATGCTTCTATAAAAATCACCTATGTGGAACGGATGCTTCTACTTGGTCATCATAGACCAGCA